ATTGCAGTTTTATTTCAAAATAAAACATTTTCTTTTATAGAAAATTTTCCTCATTGCTGGCATAGAAATTTGTTAAAACCTATATGGTGAGACTGGTAGTATATTGAAATAAATATGTGTCACCTAAAAACTGTACAAAGGAGACATTATAAAAAAAAGCCGCTATTGAAAATAACTTTTGTATGCAAGCACTTTGTTTTAGGAAAATTTGTAAAGAGTATTATGTATATTTTGTAGTTTTAAGAAATCATTATCGTAATTAAAAAATAAAATTTCATTTAAATTAATATATGAAATGAGAACAGTCTGGGGCAAAGGAGGGAAGTTGTGTAAATGGAGTAGGAAAAACATTTTAAAATTGCTGTCACATTCATACAGAAAACACTATTGTATGTGAGATTTTTGGGTCAAAAGTAAATCCCGTGAAATATAAGACTAAGAAGTCCACAAATAGATACAGCCAGGAACCGATTTCACAGTATCTTTAGTAAAAAAATGCGTCTTTAAAACGTTTTTTTTTTTAAGTTTTTAGAATTTTCCTTTTCCCTTAACCCCACATGTTAACATTTTTCCTATACAATCCCTTAACAAATTAAATTAATCGTTTTCATTCCTTTCACATGATATATACTATCACAGTACTCCATTTTAAATGGAAAAAACATTTACAACAATCATATGTAAAGAGAATTTTGCATGCAAACTTTTATTTTATTAATTGTTGGAAATTTTTCATTTTAAGTTTCAACACATTTGGTCAGTACAGTGATTAATGACCAAAAACACAAACAGACCTTAATTTTGTGATTTTTTTTTCGTCATTTTTAAAAGCGACTTTAAATGTTTATAAAGACCTTTAAACATAAAAGTTTTGGAAAACAAAACTTTATGGCAATATTTGTAGATTTATAAACAACAACATCAATCATTAACGAGTACTTTCATCTAAATAAACTTTTAATCAGTAGTTTTAAATAAAATTTACATTAAATCTTACAAAATTGTTTATTGAGAACAAAAATTAATAGCGGCACAAGTTGTAAACAGTTTATTTAATACAAATGACAGTTGTTTATAAGCAGTGTTGCTTACTTCTTAATAATTAATACATTTAAACACTAAAAATCGCTTAAAACGGCTTCAAATATATGTGAAAGCTTTTAAATAATAAAAAACTATTAAAACAATAACTTCGTAAGTGATTAATTAAGTTCTTAGTGGCTTATAACTGAAATTTTGTGTGGATAAAGTCCTTAATAAACCAAAAAAAAAGCCATTGATATTTTTATGAATACTAAGGTTCGAAAATTTTTAAAAAAGTTTTGCTGTTTAAAGATTAAACATTAATTGAACGGGGTTTCATTTATAGATTTCTGAACTTTATTTCTATTTTTACTATAGAGTAGACTATAGATGAGGCTATGGACTAAACTGTAGACTTAACAAGAAACTAGACCATAGATAATAGTATAGAGTAGACTATACACTAGACTATAGACTAGAATATAGAGTAGGGTATAGACTATACTATAGCCTAGACTATAGGCTATACTATAGCCTAGACTATAGGCTAGACTACAGACTTGACTATATACTATACTAAAGGTTGGACTGTATACTAGTTTACAGACTGCATTGTAGGTAAGACTAGACTATAATAAAGACTCGATTATAAGCTAGACTGTAGACTAGACTATAATAAAGACTAGATTATAAGCTAGACTGTAGACTACGTAATAAAACACACTCGACTATAGACTATACTTATTATAAACCAGACTATGGACTAGACTAGGTTATAGACGGCAAGACTGTATATTAGACTGTGGACTATAAATTAGACTATAGACTGCATAATAAACCACACTGGACTATAGCCTACACTATAGGCTACAGGCTAGACTACAGACTATACTGTAGACTGGACTATGGACTACACTGTTGCCTAGGATATATGCTAGACGTAGACTAGGTTATGGATTGCATTGAAGACTAGACAGTATACTAGAGTATAGACTATATTATACTCTAGACTATAGACTACATTATGAAACAGATTTAACTGTAAACTAGGTAGACTACAGGCAAGGTTGCACGTACTTATTTACTTACTTACTTACTTAATTACTTACTTACTTAATTACTTACTTACTTAATTACTAACTTACTTACTTACTTACTTACTTACTTACTTACTTACTTACTTACTTACTTACTTACTTACTTACTTACTTACTTACTTACTTACTTACTTACTTACTTACTTACTTACTTACTTACTTACTTACTTACTTACTTACTTACTTACTTACTTACTTACTTACTTACTTACTTACTTACTTACTTACTTACTTACTTACTTACTTACTTACTTACTTACTTACTTACTTACTTACTTACTTACTTACTTACTTACTTACTACTTACTTACTTACTTACTTACTTACTTACTTACTTACTTACTTACTTACTTACTTACTTACTTACTTACTTACTTACTTACTTACTTACTTACTTACTTACTTACTTACTTACTTACTTACTTACTTACTTACTTACTTACTTACTTACTTACTTACTTACTTACTTACTTACTTACTTACTTACTTACTTACTTACTTACTTACTTACTTACTTACGTACTTACTTACTTACTTACTTACTTACTTACTTACTTACTTACTTACTTACTTACTTACTTACTTACTTACTTACTTACTTACTTACTTACGTACTTACTTACTTACTTACTTACTTACTTACTTACTTACTTACTTACTTACTTACTTACTTACTTACTTACTTACTTACTTACTTACCTTACTTACTTACTTATTTACTTATTTTATCACTTACTTAATTACTTATTTTATTACTTACTTAACTACTTATTTTATCACTTACTCAACTACTTATTTTATCACTTACTTAATTACTTATTTTATCACTTACTTAATTATTATTTAATTGCTTATTTAATTTGCTTTTTTCTCTTTTAGCCACTGAAATCCGCTGCCAGGAAAAATCTCGTGGTGGTTTGAGTTATGAAGTAATTTTGGCTGAGCCAGCTCCTAATGTAGCCGTACCCAAAAAACCCGTTACACCCGGCAAAAATGTATCAGTCGAAGAAATTGAGCAAAAATTAAAAGCCGCCGAAGAAAGACGTATTGTAAGTTTTACTTTAAACTAAATAATTTCCAGCAAAATTTTTTAATATTTTTATTTTTTTAATAACAGTCTTTGGAACAAAAGAAAATGGCTGATTTATCTTATAAATTGGCTAAAATCGAAGAAGCTACACGCAAAAAAGATGAAATTACCAATGAATTCATTAATCAAACTAAGGAACAATTGGAATCGAAAATGGAACAACATGTTGAGAAACGTGAAGCTATCATTAGTGACTTGAAAGAAAAGTTGAAGGTAAAAAAAGTCAGCTTTTATTGAAAATTTAAAAATTGTAATAAAATATTTTATTTTTTCTCGCCTTAGATTCACTCTCAAGAAATTGAAAAAACTCGAGAACAATTGGAACAACAGAAATACATTGAAAAGATTGCTATTGAGGAGAAATTAAAATCTGCTCAAACTTTGCGTGATGAAAATATCAAGAAAATGTTGGAACGTCTAAAGGAACATGTAAGTATTTTATTCTCTTTAACTATAAAACTCTATTTAAATTCAATAACAACGGCACTTCCAAAAGCACCAAATCCATTAAAATATATAAAAAAGAAAATTCAAATCATTGTAAAATATATTCAAAACTCATGTACATAGAACTCATACTAATTTTATAACAAAATTGTTTATTTAATTTTTATTTAAGCCAAACATTTTAAACATTATTTTAAAAAGCACTTTAAGTTTGCACTCATTTTTTCTAAAAAATAATCCAAAAAAAGGCTAAAAAATATAAAAAACACAAACAAGACTCTAAAATTCATTTAAAATCCTATCACTTACACTCACCTAACCTAACAGTCATCTGTCACACCTACTCCCTTACTACGCCCACAAAAATTATTCACCCTCTCTTTATCTCTCAATCACTCACCCACCCACCTCTTGTAAATGTTTCATTTTTATCATTTATGTTTTTTTTCCAACTTAATTTTCAATATAATTTTAGAACACTGTCAAAATTGCTGAAATCAAAAATCAAATTGATCAATTGGAATCACAAAAAATCGAGGAGAAGGCCCGCATTATTGAAAATAAATTATATACCGCTGAACAAAATCGTGAAAAGGAGATACAAAAGAAAATTGAAAAAGTTCATAAACTCGTATGTTTCTCTCATTTGTGTTTCTATTTCTCTTTTTTTTTTGTTTTTGTTTTTGAATTATTATAAATTTACATGTTCATTCAACAACAACAACAACTACTACAAATTTCACAAAATTTATGTACAATTTTAGAATTTCATATTATCAGTTTTAGAGCTTTAAAATAACAATTCAAAAATCATATTTTTGTTTGTATCATCATGGCTTTTTGCTGTAATTAATTTTGTTTTTATCATGAAAACAATTGTTATTCATTAAAATCAATCTCATGGAATTCAAGTTTTTTTTAAGCGTTTTGTACATATTCAAAAACGTTTTAAAATCTGTTGCCTACTATAAAGACTTACTGCTAGACCATAAACTAAACACAAAACTAGAGTATAGACTAGACTATACACTACACCATATACTAGGATATAAACTAGACTATAGACTAGACCATAGACTAGACTATAGACTAGACCATAAGCTGAACTATAGACTAGACTATAGACTAGACTATAGACTAGACTATAGACTGGACTATAGATTAGACTGTAGACTAGACTATAGACTAGACTACAGACTGGACTATAGATAAGACTATCGACAATACTATTGACTATACTATACACTAGACTGTAGACAAGAATATAGACTAAACTTTTGACTAGACTAAAGACTTGACTAAAGACTAAACTATAGACTAGACTATAGATTTGACTAAAGACTAGACTTGACTACAGACAAGACTATAGATCGACTAAAAGATAGACAATAGTCTAGACTATTAACTATTGTCTACACTATAGATTAAACTATAGACTAGAATATTGACTACACTATAGACTAGACTATTGACTAGACTCTAGACTTGACTCTAGACTATAGACTAGACTATAGACTAGATTATGGACTAGATTATAGACTTGATTATAGACTAGATTATAGACTAGATTATAGACTAGACTATAGACTAGACTATAGACTAGACTATAGACTAAACTATACACTAGACTGTAGAATAGACTATAGACTAGACTATAGACTAGACTATAGACTAGACTATACTATCGACTAGACTATAGTGTAGACTATAGGCTAGACTATAGATTAGAATATAGACTAGATTATAGACTAGACTATAGACCAAACTAGAACTGAACCAGAACTGATCTAGACTGAACTTGAACTGAACTAGAAACTGAACTAGAACTGAACTAGAACTGAACTAGAACTGAACTAGAACTGAACTAGAACTGAACTAGAACTGAACTAGAACTGAACTAGAACTGAACTAGACTGAACTAGAACTGAACTAGAACTGAACTAGAACTGAACTAGAACTGAACTAGAACTGAACTAGAACTGAACTAGAACTGAACTAGAACTGACTAGAACTGAACTAGAACTGAACTAGAACTGAACTAGAACTGAACTAGAACTGAACTAGAACTGAACTAGAACTGAACTAGAACTGAACTCGAACTGAACTAGAACTGAACTAGAACTGAACTAGAACTGAACTAGAACTGAACTAGAACTGATCTAGAACTGAACTAGAACTGAACTAGAACTGAACTAGAACTGAACTAGAACTGAACTAGAACTGAAATAGAACTGAACTAGAACTGAACTAGAACTGAACTGGAACTGAACTGGAACTGAACTAGAACTGAACTAGAACTGAACTAGAACTAAACTAGAACTGAACAAGAACTGAACTAGAACTGAACTAGAACTGAACTAGAACTGAACTAGTACTGAACTAGAACTAAACTATACACTATACTGTAGACTAGACTATAGACTAGAATATAGACTAGAATATAGACTAGACTATAGACTAGACTATAGTGTAGACTATAGGCTAGACTATAGATTAGAATATAGACTAGATTATTGACTAGACTATAGACGAAACTATAACTGAACCAGAACTGATCTAGAACTGAACTAGAACTGAACTGGAACTGAACTAGAACTGAACTAGAAATGAACAGAACTAGAACTGAACTAGAACTGAACTTGCACTGAACTAGAAAATAGACTAGACTGTACAATACATTATGTGTTAGATTATATATTTAGATTAGGGTATAGATTAGGAAATAGACTAGACATATCTTAACTATAAACTAACCAATAGACTAGACTATAGACTAGACTATTGACTAGTCTATAGACTAGATTATGGACTTGACTATAGATTAGACTATAGACTAGACTATCGACTTGGCTATTGACAAGAATATAAACTAGACTAATGATTCGATTATATACTTGGCTAAGGACAAGACTTTTGACTAACTATAGACTACCCTGTAGACTAACCTATTGACTAGGCTGTAGTCTAGACCAGATTGTAGACCAGACGAATTCTAGACTGTAAACTCGACTGTAGACTAGACTATAGACTAGACTATAGAGTAGACTATAGAGTAGACTATAGAGTAGACTATAGAGTAGACTATAGAGTAGACTATAGAGTAGACTATAGAGTAGACTATAGAGTAGACTATAGAGTAGACTATAGACTAGACTATAGACTAGACTATAGACTAGACTATAGACTAGACTATAGACTAGACTATAGACTAGACTATAGACTAAAGACTGGACTATAGATCCGACTATAGACTGGACTATAGACTAGACTATAGGCTAGACTATAGACTAAACTATAGACTAGACTATAAACTAAACCACAAACTTTACTACGGACAAGACAATAGCCTATAGATATAATATAGACTAGACTTTATAAAAAATTTCAATATTATTCAACAGATTTTAAAATATTTTTATATAATTTCCATAAAAAAACTATTCAAATTTATTGCAAAATATGACTTCAATTAATATTTTATTTTCTTGTTTTTAACGCAAAACAGGAACGTCGTGCTGAATTGGTACGTCAAAACAAGGCTGCCGCCCAGCCACAACAATTGAGCGAGGACAACAATACAGCCATTGCCTCATCCGGCTAGAAGATGAACTAATAAAACGTATGCAGAGAAGAAACAGTTATAAAAGAAAGAAAGATTTTACGATTATTTAAACAAACAAACAAAAACATAAAACAGCACTACGAAAACTGCTTCAAAAAATAAACAAGAAAATATTAAAATTAAAAAAAAAAAATTAGAAAACTTTTTTTTTTTTTTTGAAAACTTATAAAAGTTTCAACAACAACATTTAACTGCTAAAAACCGTTTAATTAAAAAAAAAAGTTTAACAAAAACATAAACTATATACTCAAGAAATTTCAGAAAAAAAAACAACATGAAAAAAGCATATAATCCCCCACTCTCTCTCTAACTCTCTCTAATAAAACTACTAATTAAACAAAAAACAAAATAATAATAAAATAATTATATTTTTCATTAACAAATATTATTATTATAAAAAAAAGAAAAAAAAGCTGATATTATTAAAACAAAATATTAATTCAAACTAACAACTGGAAGTAACAATTTAATAAAATTAATTTAAACAAAATTGAGGAGAAAAAAAAAAAATTTTCTTTTTTTTTCAAAATTTGAAAAAGATTAATAATAAAATAAATTAAATAATATTAGCAATAATTTTCTTTGGAAAATTAAAGAACTTGATTTCATAAACAAAACAAAAAACAACGGCACATAAAATATTAGTTTAAAAACAAACAAATAAATAATTTTGAAAGAAAAAAAGTATAATTTTTAAAGAAAAACAAAAATTAAAAAATAAAAAAAGGTTTAAATTAGCGGTCTTTGTATAAAAATATTGTACAACAAATTAAACAAAGTTGCTGACAATTAAAACCTTTTTTCAGTTAATTTCAATTTATTAAAACTTTAGTTTTTTTTCAAATAAATAAAATAAATGAATTTGTTTTTTAAGTATTAATAACATATTTGCTGTAAGTCTTTTTCAAAAATGACCCAACTGCTTTATATTGTATGTAATAATTTATGTATAATTTTATTTTCTATATTTTTTTGAATTTTGATTACTAATTTTTAAGATTATTTTTGGAGTTTTTTTTCAATTTTTTTTTTATTTAAATATAAACAAATTTTGTGTAAGTTCTTTTTAATAAAAAAATATAAATAAAATGCTTCAAAAAAATCAATAAAAAACATTATTTAAACAAAAAAAAAAAAACCAAGAGTTTTATTTCTTTATTTTTATAAAATTCTAATTCTTAAAAAAATTAATTTAAATAAAACAGTTTTAAATAAAAAATAAACAAAATTTTCTAGGCATTTTAAGGTTAAAAAAATGTTTTAAGTTTTTTATACTTTAAATAAAAATGAAAACAATAAAAAAGTAACAAAATGAAAATTAATCATAAAAAACTATAGACAAGACTACAGACAAGACTACAGACTAGACTAAAGACTAGACTAGACTATACACTAGACTATAGACTAGACTATAGTCTAGACTATAGACTAGACTACAACCTAGACTAGACCACAGACTAGACTATAGACTTGACTATAGACTAAACTATACACTAGACTAGATTATAGACTACACTGTAGACTACACTATAGACTAGACTATATACTAGACTATAGACTATACTACAGCCTAGACTAGACCACAGACTTGACTGTAGACTAAACTATAGACTAGACTATAGACTACACTGTAGACTACACCATAGACTAAACTATGGACTAGACTATATACTAGACTAAAGCCTATAATACAGCCTAGACTAGACTATAGACTAGACTATAGACTACACCATAGACTAGACTATAGACTTGACTATACACTAGACTATAGACTAGACTATACAATAGATTAGACCATAAACTAGACTATAGACTATAATGTAGACCATACTATTGACTAGATTATAGACTAGACTATAGACTAGACTATATACTAGACTATAAACTAGAATATAAACTAGACTATAGACTAGACTATAGACTACACTATAGAATAGACTATAGACTAGACTATAGAATATACTATAGACTAGACTGTAGACTAGATTACAGCCTAGACTAGACCACAGACTAGACTATAGACTTGACTATAGACTACTATAGATTAGACTATAGACTACACTATAGACTAGACTATATACTAGACTAAAGACTATACTACAGCCTAGACTAGACTATAGTCTAGACTATAGACTAAACTATAGACTACACCATAGACTAGACAATAGACTTGACTATACACTATAGACTATACAATAGACCAGACCATAAAGTAGACTATAGACTATACTGTAGACGAGACTATTGACTATACTGTAGACCAGACTATTGACTTGATTATAGACTAGACTATAGACTAGACTATACACTAGACTATAGACCAGACTATAGACTAAACTTTAGACTAAACTATAGATTAGACTTTATACTAGACTACAGACTAGATTATATACTAGACTGTAGAAACGTTTATATACTAGACTATAGACAAGACTATAGACTAGACTATAGACTAAACTATAGATTAAACTATAGACTAAACTATAGACTAAACTATAGACTAAACTATAGACTAGACTATAGATTAGATTATAGACAAGACTAGACTATAGAATACCCTATGCACTAGACTATAGAATGGACTATAAACTACAGTATATAGTAGACTATAGACTACACTAAAGACTAGTATATATACTAGACTATAGACTAGACTATGCACTACAGTATAGAGTACACCATATACTAGACTACAGACTAGACTCTTGAATAGACTAGACTATAAGTAGAATAAAGACTAGAGTATAGAATATACTATACTAGACTATACTCTAGACTAGAGCACAGAATAGAATATAGAATAGAGTCTAGAGTAAACTATAGAATATACTATACACTAGACTATAGACTGAACTATATACTAGACTATTGACTAGACTATAGAGTAGACTATGGACTTGATTATAGAGTAGACTATAGACTAGATTATAGACTAGATTAAAGACTAGACTATCGACTACAGTATAGAGTAGACTATAGACTACAGACTAGACTATAAACTAGAATATAGACTAGAACATTGACTAAATTATAGAGTAGACTATAGAATAGATTATAGACTAAACTATAGGCTAGACTATAGCCTATTGACTTGTCTACTGAATAGACTATACACTACAGTATATAAACTATAAACTAGACTATTGAATAGACTATAGAGTAGACTAGAGTATAGAATATAGACTAAACTATATACTAGGCTAATAGACTAGAATATAAACTAGACTATTGACTAGACTATAGACTAAACTATAGACTAGACTATAAAATATACTAGAGTATAGAGTAGACTATAGACTAGAGTACAGACTAGACAAGAGTATAGACTATATTCTAGAGTATATTCAAGACTATCGACTAGACTTTCGACTAAAATATGGATTAGTCTTTATACTAGACTTTAAACTAGAATTTAGACTAGACTTAAGACTAAACTATAGACTATACTCTAGTCTATATAGTAGAATATAGACTGCACTATACACTAGAGTATATACTAGACTAAACTCTATACTATATACTAGACTTTAGACTAGACTATAGGCTAGAATATAAACTAGACTAGATGTTAGACTATGGGATAGAGTAGACTATAGACTAAACTATATACTAGACTGTAGACTAGACAACATACGAGACTATAAACTGAAATATCGACTAGACTTTAGACCAAACTATAGACTAGACTTTAGACTACATTGCAGACTAGACCGTGGACTTTATTAGACTATGTGGACATCATGCATAACTTAAGCATTATCCAATAGATGTTTAAATATTTTTATAAAAAAAATAATAAAAAAACAAAACAATATTTTGTCTATTTAAACTTATATTAAATAAATAAATAAAACAATTGATATTTATAATAAAAAATATGATAATAATTTAAAATAAATAAATAAATAAATATATAAAATATATAAAACTTATAAAAAAATAAAAAAATTTATATTTTTTTTAGAATTAAAAATAATTTGCTAAAAAAAAGAAACTAAAAACAAAATAGCTTAATTATTTAATTAAAATTACAAAGAAAAATCCCCCAACATTAAGAAAAATTCTTAGAAAAAACAATCTAATTGTTTCTTAAACCAAACAAAAACTATATATAACCTTGAAATTTACTAAAGCTTTTGCCTAAAACCAAATATTTAACACCTGTAAAACCTTAAAACTTCTATATAAACCTAAAAACACAAAACACAAACTATAAGCCTTATTATTAAACAAAACTAAAAATCTATAAAAAAAAAATCCAATTATTCAACTTTAACTTCCTTCTTCATTTCATCCACATACACTCCCTTCATAGTCCTTTTTATATTAAAACCTGCTCCTAAACCCCGCAATAGCTAAGCAAACCCCTTCCTGCTAAACTACCAAAAAAAGGGAAAAAATGTTCCCTATTGAAGCAAAAACTTATTAATTAATAGTCTTATTCTTAAACCATTATCAAAGGTTTATGAATAAAGATCCTAAAACTATAAACAATAACTTCAAAATCTATATAAATAAATATAACAAAAGCAAGCGTATTTATAAATGTGTAAAACTCATTATTTCATCATTAATTATAATAATAATAAAGAACAACAATAACTTATTTAAATAAATATATCAAAATCACAAAAAACATGAATAATAAAAAAAACTGAAAACTCAGTAAATTATTATAAATAAAGAAATTTCTAATTTGAATGCTAACGAGGATGTTATATGTTGCAGAGTTGTTTTATTTAAAATATTTTGGTTGATATACGGTTATCCAAAAAGGTAAGTTAGGTTCGATTGTAAAGGTAATCTACTAAACTGCAATAACTAGACTACAGATTAGTCTGTTCTATATAGACCACACTATAGACTAGGCTATAGAGTAGACTATTGACTGGTCTATTGAATAGACTATACACTACAGTATAAGTAGACTATAGACTAGTCTACAGGCTGGACTATATACTAAACTATAGACTAGACTATGTACTAAACTATAGACTAGACTATTGAATAGACTATAGAATACACTATCTATCTATCTATCTATCTATCTATCTATCTATCTATCTATCTATCTATCTATCTATCTATCTATCTATCTATCTATCTATCTATCTATCTATCTATCTATCTATCTATCTATCTATCTATCTATCTATCTATCTATCTATCTATCTATCTATCTATCTATCTATCTATCTATCTATCTATCTATCTATCTATC